TTCATACCGAATACCGGTGTTTATTTTTGTTATGATATGAATTTTTAAAATTCAAAAGTATGTCACTTAAACAACGTTCGGAACGCGACACTGTTTGAAAGGGGTCCCTTTTCACTGTTGTACTGTGGTGAGGGAACAGCTGTATGTGTTACTAAGCGTGAAAGTTCCAAAACTGAAGCTGTAGAACTAATAGAACGTGATGACAGAAGTCATGGGCCACAATATCCACGTTGACCGCCACAAATATCCACCGCCCCCTGCAATCATCTCCCGCGTCTCACACACACGAGCGCGACTTTAGCACTAGATTTAGCAACTTTCAGACCCTTTTAGCGGCTTTTTTCCATAGAATATTCATACTGACAAACCTAGCGACTTTTTGGGATAAACCTTAGCTATGGTTAAGTTGTAAGATTTCGCCAGTGCTGTCCCGCGAACGTGAGGTCTGACTTTCCCGGAGAAGTGTCACCTCTCTCGGCGTCTGTTCTGTGCAGTGAGCGGCAGAGAAGCAGCACATTCATTTGGCCGCACCGCAGCCGACTCGTCAATAAATGAGTACAAAACAGCGTTTCCTAGCACCTGTCGCTTACTGATTGTTTGGAATTATAAATATGAGCGTAGTTCGTCTGTTAATATCACTTTTTTGTTTGGTGTTTTTTTTAGTTTGTTACTCACACGCAGGCAGTGCGCTGCATGAGACAAAAAAGTAATATAGCTAAAACAACCGCAAGGCCGCTCTTTAGTGTAGATGCATGTTGATTTTATCAGACGATGACGCGATTATAAATGAGAGTGAGTGATTCCAAACTAATTGATACAATGAAGGCAAATTATGTCAAACTGACCCCAATTTTGAGGCTGGTTTTGAACGACAAGCTATATCATGATTTGCATGATAGAGTTAATTAAAGACAAGCCCACAGGGCAGACTAGCCTGATCTAGGGGGAGCTACCATGAAATAATGCAATTACCGACACAATTTCATGACAATTATTCACTGCAAATGACTCACTGCTGTCAGTGAACAACTAAATGTCTGAGATAAGCATTCATACATATTGTCAAGCTAAACAAAGACCCATTAGTCATAGTCATTGGCCTTCCAGTGTGCTTTACTTCAGGAGAATTTATGGTTCATTAGGGAAACACGAGGACACATAAAATAGCCTCCATAATACACATTCTTTAATATAAGACTTTGAAAAACTGGTCCAAATAACATTTATTGATATTTGCATGTGCCATTTTCTGAAGATAAATTTGAGCTAGACTTTGATTTTTATACAACACTAACAACACCTAAACAAAGGTCAAAAGGTCAGGCTACTTTGCGTCAACATTTCATTTTTTGTCATACCAGTTCATATATAAGCAACACACATCACCGTTTAAAAGAATTATTTTAAAAGTAGCCTATTTTTTTTCCAGAAAGGATGCATTAAATTGATCAAAAGTATCAGTAAAGTCCTTTTTCTAGTTGAAATATATGCTTTTCATGAGCTTTCAATTCATCAAAAAATCCTCAACAAATGTATCCCAGTGTCCACAAAAAAAAATAAGCATCACAACTATTTTCAACACTGATAATAATAAATGTTTCTTGAGCACCAAATCAGCATATTAGAATGATATCTGAAGGATCATGTGACACTGAAGACTAGAGTAATGCTGAAAATTCAGCTTTGCTATCAAAGAAATAAATTACATTTTCAAATATATTCAAATAGAAAACAGTTATTCTAAATTGTAAAGTTTCAAAATATTACGGTTTATACTGTCTTTTAAAATCACATAAATGCCACCTTGGTGAGAGTTAAAAAATTATTAAATATTAAAAACTTCTTGACCCCAAACTTCCGCAATGTAGTGTAGATTAATACAACAAAACACCCATCAATTATGACATATGAGTAACTTTCAGATTTAACAATTCAGCATGCTACCCTACCCCTATGTCTTCATTAAAGGGGTCATATGATGTTGCTAAAAAGAACATTATTTTGTGTATTTGGTGTAATGAAATGTGTTTATGTGGTTTAAGGTTCAAAAAACACATTATTTTCCACATACTGTACATTATTGTTTCTCCTCTATGCCCCGCCTTTCTGAAACGCGTCGATTTTTACAAAACTCATCGGTCTGAAAAACGAGGTGTGCTCTGATTGGCCAGCTATCCAATGCGTTGTGATTGGCCGAATACCTCAAGCATGTGATTATAAAGAATATCTATTTGGATTTGAGACTTTAGTCTTTGCAACTTTACAGATCTTCTTTAAGCACCAAGAGCTTGTAACACGCCAAAGAGAAAGGAAAAATTGAAATCGCATCATATGACCCCTTTAACACTGACATTCAACATTAATGGATAAATAAACGCAACCACAGTTCCTGGATCACTGCAAGCAGTCAAAAAGTATCTTGTTCCATCTCTTTTGGTCTCAATTTTCCTCTGTCTCTCTCATTTCATCCCTATCTCTTCATCATTTCACCTCTCTAAAAGAGTCAATTTGTCCCAGATATGTTACACTGTGGTCGATCGAATACAGTAACAAAACAGCAAAGGGTGTCCACTTTGGATGGTTACTGTATACTCCATTTGCCTCATTGTACTTATAATTGAGGATATAAGGAAAAAACATGGGCTGAGGGTGAATATGTTAAAAAAAGCTTTAAAAGTGTATTATAACAATACAAATGATACATACAAGCTTCACACATTACTTGCATCACACTAACAAGCCAACATCTGCTTAGTTCTGTCTGAGTTTTATACAAACCAATAAACAGACAATAAAATTTAGCTTAATATATATATATATATATGCCATATTGAGTAAACATCTTATTGACATTAGACACAGATACACAGAGAGAAGACAAAATTTCCCAGCAGGGATGGACATTATGGGCCAATGGCCCAGAAAACTTACTGACACACCAAAAATCCTTAATAAACCTGTGAGCTGTGACACCAGAATCAATCCCCACTTGAGAATGAAAGCTCAATTTAATTTAACAATATTTTAAATATACAAAACTGTACCATGAAAATACCATGGTACTGTTAGTGAAAGACGGCTTAAAATACATATCAAATATTATTTATGTATGCGTGTATATATACATATATATATATATATATATTTGAGAGAGAGAGTGTATAAAATTAAATACATCTCTCTCATTTCCATATGTATTGTGTATACACACACACACACACACACACACACACACACACACACACACACGAATAAACACATACACACATATGTGACCCTGGACCACAAAACCAGTCTTAAGTTGCAAGGGTATA